AAGTTGCTGAGACTGTATTTATCAGTGACATTAATAAACCTTTTACGTAGTTCACAATGAAAAGCTTGAGGTGAGCAGTAATGTAATGCAAAACTTATCAGAACTGGCTTTATGCTGCCATTTCCATTTCTCTCACCTCCCAGTGGGCAGATGGAAAATGCAATGAGGCTCACTCCCCACTGTCTGTTTTCCACGTGTGTTCACCTAATTAAAGAATGACTAGGGTAACCCATTTCCTCCCACAACACTTACTGTGTTGTTCATTCACAGCCCTTTTCTTTAATGCGATTACAATATCTGCGTTTGGCTTTCAGCTAGCTGAACCAAGAAGACAAGACGGTAGCTAGCGGAGCTCATTTTTGGCACTCCTGTTCTTCAGCTCATTGTTATTATTTTTTTGAATGAAGGGCTGTATCTTATTTGTATGTAGACCCATGTAGACCCAGAGTAACTCCACTGTCAACTGAGACCACAGACACATTGTGGTGGCATGTGATCTCTGCTGCTGTTGAAGGCAAAAGGTACACAAATCGATTCCTGAATTTGGGCAACCTGCTGGGAGTCTGGCTTTAAATGTCTGTGAATCAGTGCTGCTTTGATGACTGCCTTTGGCAATTGTTCCCTAGCATTAGGTTAAATCTCAGCGATATTGTAAATGACAAAATGGAGTTGAACTGGGAAGTAAAATATAAAAAAAAATCCAATGGAAAAACTGTAACAGGAAAAAAAAATACCAGGAAAACATTTGTCATCTGTTGTCTCAGTGTTTATTAACTATAAATTACAGATGGCACTCTGAGCATTTGGCATGCTGAAGAAGAATAGTTACCTTTGGCAAACAGAGTTCCACAATAATAATAGAGTCAATTAGCTAGCAACATTCATTAATAAAGTTGAAAACTGACACGCCAAAAACACTGTGCAAGGCTGAGCAGAATTAGAGCACAGTGAGTGCCATTTGAAAAGCTGGCAATTCTGATGTTAATCAGATGTACGAAATGTTTATGCAAACAGGCATAGAACTGAGATACATATTGAATGCAGGAAGTAAAATTTGCTCGAAGAGGGTTTATAGAAAACCCTGAAAGACAAAAAGCTTGGAATTACATTAGAAACAGAGGGCCCGATTCTTGTATGTTAAAAATAGCTTAGTGGGACATAATGGAGTTACAGTGATTTAAACAAGCGTTTGTGAAAGAAACCTATGGACTATGATGTTGAATATTTATAGATACATAATGTTCTATTTTCCAGAGAACAAGAACCTGACCCTGAATGAGTGCAAACTTTAGTACTGAACTCTATCATATAAATACTTAAGAAGTACCAGGACCATGTTGTGCTTTTTAAGGGAAGGTAGGTAGTAGAAACAAAAATTTAAGCCAGGTCCTTTTACAAAAGTAGTAGATCAAATCAGAACACCAAACAGACCCAGTAAGCTTTAGTAACTGAATCTAGACTCCACCTTTCACAGTGCACAATTGATACCATAGATATATACCCTACAGAGGTCCACCAGACATACAAGTTCGTTATCCAATGGAATATCACAGGCTGTGGAACACTTCCCAAGACCTGCCAAACACTTAAGACATTAAAAAGCTCAAAAGCCACAACTCTAGTGTGCCACAGGGAGGCAGTCAGTATCTCCAGTGCCCTTACGACAGGGCATTAAATAACATTAAATTAACATTCCCAGATCATCCAAATAAGCAGACCACAGACCAGGATCCAGGGTGGGGAAAAAAACCCTGGAGATCTGAACTGGGAAGGAATTTTCCTCCTAATCTCCATCTGGTGACTGAAGGAAGGGAAGATGACAGTAGTAGTCATCTGTTAGCTGAGATTCATTATATCAACATGATGTTGCCAACAAAACACAATGAAAGTAAGTAAAAAAGAAGGTTGGGAAAATGGGCTGAAGCTGGCAGGGTTGCTGCTTTTATCAGTCTGGGTTGACAGTGGCTACAGGACAACTCTCAGGGTTCACTGAACCATATATCATTAGGGTTTCTAAAGGTCTCACAGGTATTAATTGAAGCTTAAGCCTAAGTGACTGCAAGATGTGACAGATGTGACAATAATTACCATTTCAGTATTTATGTTGTAAGGCAAAGGAAATGTTTTATTACTCTGGGTCTACTTGGTGGTTTCCACGCTTGCCAGCGTGTGTATTTAGTGAAATAAAGAGTTATCAGGACTTTATCAAGACCTTGTAAAAATAAAAAGCTCTTCACGTTGTTAAATTCTTTTTCACTGTAAGCATGTCAAGTGAATGATTTTTAACTTTTAAAACATCTTGATTTATTTAGAAACTGCAGTTGCCCATATAAGGTAATTTTGCAGTTAACGGACAAATTCACAAATTTTTGATATTTCATTTTAGGAAAGAAAATTTATTTTGCTTCTAAAGAAATTAAGGGCATAATGAAATTAGATTTAAACCCACTGTATTATGTGTTGCATTTGGTTCACTGGTAAAAACCTTCTCAGTATTTCAACTCTTTGCAATTTGTCAGTTTTAAAAATGGAACATTTTACATTTTCTCCATTTAGTTAGTATCCACTAAGATTTGTTATCTATGTACTTACCATATATATATATTTATGAAAACTATATCTCAAACAAGTAGTTTTCATAAATCAGAGCCAAAGCCCTGTTACCTGCCGTTAAACTAGCTTATCCAAACACGTTTTACTTTTCTACATATATGGCTGAAGAGGAAAGAATTAGCCGGGAAAAATGACTTTCATACGGGAATAAGACTTGCACATGTCACTGGAAATCTGCTTATTAAAATGTTCATGCCAACATTCCACTCATACTTAAACCCCAAGACACTGCTTTTAAACTCAGGGAAAAGAGAAATGAGCGTTTCCAATAGAGCAAGACTCTTTGTGCTAGACTGAGAAGGATGGTGAATCCATCAACTCTCTCAGAGGTGAAAATACTCTACATCTTGCAGGATTAAATTTTAGGAGCCCCAGTTCAGGAAAGCACTTTAAGCACAAACATCTCTGTTTTCTAAAAAGCGCTTAGGTATCTGCTTCACTTCACTGACTTTAAACAAGAAATAGTATGAAAGTCTTCTTAAATTGGCAAATCAGCTAGGATACATACATTTTGTATGCAGTATGAACACTATGATCCTGAAAACTGTCTTAGTCCAACAGGAATATTACTTATTTAAAACGAATTACCTAATATGTAGCATGCCACAGTTTGATCCTATAGTCATCTCACATCTTACAATTCTCATGGGACTCCAAGAGAACTCTGCTTGCATTAAGGTGGGAAAGTCAACAAATGCATCATTCATTAAATGAAAGATTTTAAAGTTTTATTTGTGCAGAGTCTGGGCAATTTCGAAGTGCACAGTAGTTTTACTAAGACATTCTAAATACATCACTTGCAAATTAATTTAAAATTACTTATTTTTGACTCCTGATTTATTAACTTTCCTGTCTTACATAGCTACAGCTGCTTTCTTAGCATTTCAGAGCACAAGGGAAAACAATTTACTGAATGAGCTGATGAAAAATCCCAAACAGAGTAATTTAGTGTCATATTCATTAGGCCTGTTTAGGCAGCTGAAATTACATAGCCCTGATGTCATACCGATGATGTCCGTCATCTGCATCAAACAAATATGAAGGACAGTGTTTTTTTTCTAAGAACATTTGATTGGGTTAATCTCCTCAGCACAGTCATACAAAATCATGACTTGCCTACTAAAGTTCTTATTAGCTTAGACTAATTAATGTCAAAGGAGATCATGCATTTTCTGAATGTGTTGCCAAGCAAAGTTAAAAGAAGGACACGTGAAATGCAGTGCGTGGATAGATCTGGGTGTTTATCACGAAATAAAAAGTAAATCTGTCAAGCTGCAGACTGAAACAAATAATAGCAACCTAAATAGTTTCTGGCTTGAATCTCAGCAATGGATTATAAAGAATATTAAAATATAATTTATTCACTCATCTATTTTGTCATGAGAAAACCCCTTCTACTCTTTTCTTTTTCCGTCCTGGAAAATGTAAAGAAAAAAAATCGCAGTGAAAATCCACAACAGGTTGTACTGATGCGAACGTCTCTAAGAAACCTCCTGTAATGAAATTCTGCACCCCGTTTGTTATTAGAACAGTGCCTTTTGTGGCTACCTGTTAACTACTGGGCATTGTATGAGGCCTCCTTTACTGACTACATTCAGTCTTCACCTAAAGTGCCTTAACTTTTGCTATGTATTGTCTGTAGTGACATGAGAGCAGTGCATATTCTGCTACTGTGAAAAAGATCTTTTTAAATTATGTTCTGGTGTTTTCTTGAATTCTGCATTTTTGGATATTTACAGCAGATGCTCGGTCTAAAAGTACTGTTTTCACCTAGGAATCCCTTTTCTAAATTGACATAATGTCAAACTGATTTGACAAACTGCTGCTCTTAACTACATGGGCATAATTACAGTTTCTCCTCTAAGGAGAGGGGAGGTAACACTGCGTTTACAGCCCTATGCCTGGGAGCAGAATTGGCTGCAACCTGGTTTTGTGAAATTGAGGTGAATAAAAGGGGTTAGTAAACACCATTCCCCGTGTCCTATTGATGCAGCTGGCAACTTTTGTAGGTCTCCAAGCAAGTATTCAAGCGTCTGTACTAATAATTCTGAAAGTTGGACTGGGAACAGGTATTTAGGACTCAACCCTTCAGTTTCCACATGCACAGCTCCAGCGTGGCTCCCTCCTGCAGAAGGACAGCACAATCGGTTTCTCAGGGGCTTCTGGGGAAAGTCTTCCCAGGACCCTTAGCCAGGGAGGTTCATCATCACAGATTTAAAATACCTCCTTGGGGCTACGGAAATGAGGTGAAAAGTCTACACAGATGTTCTTATCCATTGAAAAAGCTCATTCTGGCTCAACTGGCAAGTAAGCAGCAGTGGACCCTAGCAGCTGCCGGTATAGCTGAAAAGGCACAGAAGAAAAGCCGCAGTTATCCCGGGACTGACCTATGCACACATTTTCATCGTCCAGCTCTGCAGAAGCATTTCTGAAGTAGCCCAGCCTGCATAACTCACAGTGCTGACCTCTAGTGTTGTGCTTACAGCTCACGCAAATGACCGTATTGAGCAGCTCGATGTAACTGCACCGGTTGGAGTGCCCGAAGCATTCACAGTCTTTCAAGGAAGAACAGAAATGTATACAAAATGTATACAGCAGCAGAGTAATAGCACATTACATGCTTAGTAAAAATGACCCATGAAGAGAAGTATGAATGAATGGCACATACATGTTAATCGATGTAACACGGACAACAGCAGATGTTTATCTGCAATGAAAGTGAAGTTTGTTTCAGGCAGATTAGCGTGACCCGACAACCATGGCATGACGTTGAAGGTTGGCTGTTGTTGGCAGACCTGATGGAACTGAAGCATTTGCAGTTGTAAACCTTTCAGGGGTACTGGAGGCTCAGTTTCCGCTGACAGAAATGCATATCTTTTTGCACATTTGAGATGAGTATAAATCAAGACATGGGAAAAACTTCCTCATATTAAAAATAGCAAATACAGTGGACAAAACTGTCAAACTTCATCAGGCTTAAATCCACAACACTAAGTAAAATAAAAGCTTTCTTCTGACATTAATGGCGAGTGTTCAAAAATACTACTGAACTCGGGTTACTATGACTGGTGGGCACCTTGGGAACCAGATTCTTTTATTTCAAGACCAAACAAATCTCTAGTTTGACAATTTTGGCCAGCACCTCCTAAAACAATTAACAGAGAAGAAAAGGAAAGAGAGAGGTGTTATTTAAGAGCTACTGCTACTGTACTTCTGAGGTAAGCGTTAACCCATTTTTATATTCTCAGATGAAAAACAACTGGGCCAGAAAAGATAATGAAAATTCTGAGGCGTGTACTGAACAGAAAGAGTGCTTACTGCAGCCATCTGAAATGCAGCTGGCACGGCAGCTGCTTTTTAAAAAATCCCTTCATTAAACATAGAATGCTGGTGCCTTTTAGCCTTTAATCACAAGCAATGCTTGGTTTTATGCAGGAAGATGTAGAAATTAGAAATGTATCAATATCATTATAGAAAGTACAGCTAAGCTTTGTGCAGAAAGCTTGTGTAAGTCTGATCACTCAAGTCTGAGATGACGAGCCCAGAATGAATGCAGGAAATGTTATTAGCGTGATCAGAGAAGTAGAGAGCCTATTTAAAAAGCGAAGACTAGGATAATTTGGCTTGTTTAGTCTAGGAAACTGAAGACAGGATATCACTGGGCTATAAATACATCAAGGATATAGCCTTCTGCCATCCTAAGTGAGTATCTGCACTAATGGACAACATTGGCACAGGAACAAATGGGTGTTAACTGGCCATTGAGAAATTTCAACTGGAAATTCAGAGATGGTATCTAGCCGTTAGGGCACTGAGGTTCTCGAACACTTCTGATTTGTAGCAAAAACCTGATGCTTTAGAGATGTAGTTTATTAACTGGTGAAAGAGATTATGGTATGTTTCCCGCAGTACTGGAGTACTGGATGCAGTGACTTAGAAAGACTTCAAGGTCTTGAAGTTGACTTAGCCTGTATATAGATAAAGCTGTAGCAAAGCGTGTACAATGTTTCCATACATGACAGGAGCCAAGTCCCCTGTGCTGCCTTTCCTAGGGTAAGCTGCTGACCGTTGGCATAGGGCATTAGAAACGCTATTTGTGCCTGTCTGTATTTTTATAAAGAAAAAGTAATACCGCTACATGTTTATGAGTATGTTATGCACACCTAATACATATATATTTCTTTGGCTGTTGTCTGGTGTATTAAACTGTAAATAGCATCATTTCTTATACTGTACAACGCTTAGCACAACACGTGTTTCAATGTTGAGAACTGCCTTTCTGCTGCCAGGAAACATTAATTCAATTTACATATACACATTTAGTTAACATATATGCATTCTCATTCTCTTCAATGTTATACTGCTAAACCGATGTTTTGTGGTTTGTGCCGATCTGATAATTTTGATGCCTAGAACTGCTGGAATACAGTAAAACATTTGGTGTATCAGTCTCAGTTTGCTACTATTTGACATAATTGAGGGGGGAGGAAAAAAGTGTTAATATTTGTTGGCTTTTACAGCTGGTCAGTATGATTCAGCATCTCAGCCAGGCAGCCGGCAGCATTTTCCCCCTACCCTTGCTCGAGTACAAACTGCCTCTGTGGGGCAGAGGCAACAGATCTAAAAGCGGAAACCACCACTGGCAAACAAACTGGAAAAATTGTTATGATTGTAAGTTTTTATGTGTTTGAGTTTTTAAAATAAGGAAGGCTGGTTAGTGGTAAGCAATCTGATCCTTCTGAATTTCAGATTCAGAAGCAATGCTCTCTTAGTCTCTGTCTGACAAAGGACCTGTCTTCTGCTACCATTAGATAATTTCTGTTGGTGAGACGCTACTGTACTGGTATGTTTGTCAGACTCATGGCGAAATATACTGTAGGTGAATTTAGAGGAAATAATGTGCCTTGGTTTTGAATCAGTCACAGGCAGCAGAATGCTACATTTTTATGTTTCAAATATACATGGACTATAAAGAAGTGACAGTAAATCAGACTCTGCTACATCATCTTTTGTGCTTAAAGCAGCAGAAAGAAATTAAGAATGTCCTGTGAATGAATGACTGCACTACTTCCACTCTGAATTGTGGTATGTGATCATTGTGATACCTTCAGTAATGTTACTACTACACATAATTAGCCATTACAAAAGCACAAGAAACAAAGCTGCACATGAAGTAACTCACTCTATAACAAGGCTTGTTCCAAGTTATGTTTTGGACTTAAGAAATGTCTAATAGTTACAAAGGACTTAAGTTTGATCTACATACATGCTTCTAAACACATGCAGAAGGACTACCCAAGTTCAGATGTGGCTCATGAATAAATAAAGGTAAACTACGAGACCTATTCTTATACTTGGTTGCATTCCTATTCTTTTGTAACAACTGTGCTGTGTGAAAGAAAGCCTTTGTCTCAAAGTTAATTTGTACTGAGACATAGGAAAGCTCTAGGAATCTTGATCATCACACTGGTAAATGCTACATGGTATAGGAAAAAACCCAGTTAATTCAAAAACAGTAACATCTGATCAAATGCCTTTGCAATAGCACAAAGGAGAAAAAAAATAAAGGCATGGCAAGTAACAATTAAATAATTTTTTTTTCTAATTTTTGCTTCTCCCCCTCACATTTTGTTAGTGCAGTAATACGACCTTATTTTGCTTACTACTGTTGGCCTGATTGGTGAATCATTTTTACATCCCTCTGTGTTTATTAATAAAAAAAGCTATGCAAAGGGTCCTCATATGATTGAAATGGAATTATTTTCTCCACTGGCTATGTGAGGTGCTACCGTAAACCAGTCAAAAACGACAAGTAGAATTGCATTCAGCATCATGCCATCTGGGAAGCTAAAACCTGTCAATGCTGTATGGCCTTTCTAGCTTATTATGTGGTTCACCTTAACCAGTGCACCAAGACCAAGAGTAGCCTGCTTATTAGACTTGCCGGAAGCACAGCTTAAGGTGTTTAGGCACGTGTCTCTGGCTAGCAGCTCAACCACTTTCATGCACTGGCAAAGCCATGCGATCACTGAAAGAGATGGGGGAAAAGTATCAAAATCAGTCTGCAAATGGTTTACTAACAATGGAATGACATGAGCTTACAGCGCTGGAAAATGCTGCTTTCAGTTCTGAGTAAGAAAAGACAGAGGTAACCTGGAGCCGGTTTGAAGCTGAATAACAATAAGGAGTAAATGGTTTGGAAAAGAAAACCTTAGAGGAGAGGTAAAGATAGCTAGATAGGTTTAAAGTGAAGGAAAAATGGAGAAGAGATAGCCATGTTAGATTTGATAATTGTCTTTGGACGATTCAGGAATTGTCAAATCCCTTGCCAACTCATGGAAGGATTGACTGTATGAGCCTTTAAAGACTATTTCCAGCACAATGATTCTATTGCAACAATCTTGATCCTGTTGTAGAAAGCATGATAAAATTACCCATTGAAGGAGGCTCATAAAGAGGTCATAATTTAATTGTTTTGCTTCTATAAATTGAATACTTCACACACCCACCCCCCCCAATATTATGCTATGCATTTACATCTCTGAGATTACATACTATTGCACTCTGGGGATGAGGTTCAGCTGAAGCTTCAGTTGTGACCAATCAAACATGAAACATCATCACATGAAACAATGGTAAACACACATGGAAGGGAAACGTAATTTTTAAACTAAGACAGGTAATGCATGAGAGAGCTATCAGTGCCATTCTCTACTTAAAAGCATAAAGAGTATTTCAAGAAAAGTGCGTTCAGAAATGATTAAAATATTTTTTAATTTTCCAGTAACTCTGTGTTCCTCTATACGCTAACAAAAGGCAAACAAAGGAGATTTCATGGTAACCTTAGAAATGATCTGCTTCATAACAAACAGTGTGGCTTGTTATCGCGATCTCATCAAATGGGTGAAACTGAGTTCAAACATTTGTTAATATCCTTATTCCTTGTTAATATGTATTTCACGAATAATGAGATATTCACAATAGCTACAGAAAGACAAAACATCTTTATACACACTCTTCACAGATAAATTGATGAGGAAAAACAATGAGGAGATCTCAGGGTTCAGACTGTGAATCAGATATGCAAATGAAACAGGTTGCCTGTTAAGTCAGAGAGAATATTGGCATCCTTCATTATGCCCAGATAATTCCATTATTTTGATAAAACACTGAAACATCAGTTCCAAATGTAATGCCTACACTCTGAATTTGTACACTGTTACAATAAAATGAAGATGTAAGGCACACTTACAATGCATTAAAAGACATAACTATGCATTACACTCCATGGCATTTACAGATACTTCTTAAGGATATGGACAATGGATGTTTTATATATTGTTTGCCTTTGACTAATCTTCTTATGTATCCTCTTTTACAAGTATATCAGTGAGGAAAACAAGACTAGCGAACTTTTGTTTTCTAGGCAACAATCTGAATGGTCATGTTCATATGTTTAATTCCTTCAAAAACAAATGCCATGTCATTTTATATGCCAGCAGTGACTGTCTCAGAGGCATATTTATTATTTTCTTTGGCTTATGTGACTTAATGC